TACCGAAGCTGTCCATCATCTTCGCCTTTCCTGCTTTAACCGCAAATGTTTTTGTTTCTTATTTCTGCGCTGCGTTTATTGCGGCGCACCAGCTGTCTAGACCGCAACTTTAGACTCGTTTAACCTGAGAATTAAATCTCCTTGGGCAAAAGAACTCTCACGCGCGCTCCGGGAGAAGAGGCACCTCTCGAAGATCGCAGCCGGGAAGCAGCTAAAGTGGAGGAGCCGCAGCGTTTGGGGGAATTACATTTTGGAGACGCGGCAGAAAGGACAGGGGAAAGGGACCGTTCCAAACCAGATTTCTCGGCCCTTCCTTCACTTTCGCTTTACCTTTCCGGAAATTCTCTCTCTCTCTCTCTCTCTCTCTCTCTCTCTCTCTCTCTCCCTCCCTCCCTCCCTCCCTCCCTCTCTCTCTTATTGTTGTCTCAGGCATTATGTGGATATTTTGAAATCATTTGTCAGACTCCTCCCTCCTCAAAATATAGGCATATTCTTAATTTAACTAACCCATAAAACTGTTAATGTAAAAAAAAAAAAAAACTTTGTCTTGTTATTGGGACAGTGGTTCCCATCAACTACAGTCCTGGAATCTGTGGTTAGACTGGCTTCTAAGTCTAAGCAAACAAATAAATAAACACCCTCCTGTCCCCAACTACCCATTAAACCATCTCCCTCTCCCTCTCTCCCTCTCTCTTTCTGTCTCTCATTTTCTCTCTCTCTCTCTCTCTCTCACACACACACACACACACCACACCTCCCCCTTCCTCCTCCCTTTTTATTCACGCACAGGCCCACAAAGGCCCTGTATACATAAGTTGACTGATTGACTGATACACACTTAGTGGTTTGGATCAGGACCTTCTCGGTGCGCACCCACCCACCCATCCATCGTTGAGTCTGCAGAAAGGAAGGAGGCGCTGTCGGGAGCGGGTAAAAGTTAGCTATTCCTCCCCTTTGCAGTGGCCAAGGAAGTGAAAGCCATCCCAGCGTATTTATTTGTCTGGTGTTTGTGGCCAGCCTTTCGGAGGGAGCGAGTGTGGAATCAAGGGGCAGTTTGTAGATAAACAAAAGGCAAACGATCATTGAAGCATAACCATCAAATTAGCTGCTTCTAAACACGAAGGTGCTGAAATAAACCGCACGGAGAAGAACACCAGTGAGTTTTACCCCCTCACCCTCCATAAACACACAAAGACATGTACATCAATCACGTCCTCGTATGATTCAGTTTTCTCTCTTTTCTCTTTCTGACCGTTTCTTTTCTTTTTTTTCTTTTTGAAAGGAGGAGTGATAGAAGAGATAAAGGAGAAAGAAAAGGATATTTTCTCCAGCGCAACCCACGATCCAAATAAATTTCTTGGTTTCACTTTACTGCAAATGGAAGAGTTTGAAAATCAAAAGGCATCCCCATTTCAACCTTTCCAGTGGAAAGAGGTGGAAGCCAACGTTTCTTTCTTTTTGTCAACGTCAGCATTATGCCTTTAAATGTTTTTATCCTGGAAAGCTCACTTGGAAAAACCAAGGACCTCATTGGTTTCGCCCCCCCTATTATGTAACTCACGGAGACTTGCCTCTGAAAAAGCCCACCTCTTCGGGTAGAACAGGGCGCTTGAAGGACTGACAAACAAGCAACGAACAGCTGATCGCAGTGCCCTAATCTAATAAACAAATACCCCCCCCTTTTTTTCTTCTTCTTCTTTTCTTTTCTTGCAGTTTCAGAAATTCCAGATTGGCCTTGAAAAACCTACAACGGTATTTTGTATATTACCTTAACCAAATACTAAGTTTGCCCCATTTCTTACTTTTCGGGGGGGGGGACCCTCAAAAATTATCCCAGAATACAAGCTTTTGAAATGAGTTTACACAATTGAGTGTACACCATTTCTAAGGGTTTGGAGTTCCTCGTTTTGCTTTGCTGCATTTCCATGGGCAAACAACAAAAAGCAAGTGGGGTTTCAGAGTAATTCTCCTTAGCAAAAGGTGGAGGTGGGGTTTTTTTTTTGGAGTGTTTGGAGGGGCGGGGGAGTGAAGTTCTCTGCAGAAGGACAGCAGACTTTGGGGGCAGCCGAAGAGGCTGAGGTGCAACATTCGGCTAGGGTTGGTGGCAGGAACCTATCCACTGATTTCCATTCCCGGGATTTTCGTTTTCAATCCTTCCTAATTGAGAGGTGCAAACTTCAACAATCACCAAAACCAACACAGTATTGAAAAGGGTGACTATTCCTGGGGAAAGGGGAAGTGGGTGGGTGGGGGGAATATTTCATAGAACTTTCTAAAAGCTAAATTTAAATTAGTTTGACCTCGCAGAATGTAGCTTTTTGAGATTCTTTGTTGTTGGGTTTTTTTTTACTTGTTTTGGAGAGATTAGTAGTGTAAAGACTAGAAACACTGAAATGGGTTTAAGTATTTAAGTTAATATTACAATACCAATAAAACGATTCGAGATTTACCTTTAGCAAAGACGGCTCCAAATACATTATTTTGTACCCGTTGCTTTTGCCACAGTCTTTTTTTTTTTTGATTGGACAGCCAGAGATTTATTACCTTCCCTTTGCTCAGGGGCGTTTGTTTGGTTTTGTTTTTAAGCAAGCCTGACCATTGTGCAGAGGCGCTGAAGTCATTTTATGGATGTTAGGAATTTAATTCGGGTTTTCAAAAGGAAAGACTTTCAAATAATAATGCGTGTGTGTGGGTTAGTTAGTAATTTTATTGCTCATTTCTAAACCTGAAATTTTCGGGTTCCTGGATACAGTTGAAAGAATTTGCAAATATATTCCGTTTTGTTTTTTTTTTAAAAAAGAGATTTGATTCTTTTAAAGATTGAAACATTTGTGCATCTTTTAAAAGATAACATTTAACTGATGCTGCTTTTAAGTAAGCGCCTTTGGAATCCCAACTCTCTTCACCCATATTGAACCCAACCCATAGGTTAGATAATCTAATCTTTCCCAGAAAATATGGGGTTTCCCAGAAAGCCCATATTTTCTCAGAAGCAAGAGAAGTTATTTTAGAACACTTGAAACTAGTCCAACCTTTGCAGGTTTAGCCCTCTTTCTCTCCCCCCCCCCACTTGTTTTTCACTGGTTCTCATACCAATCCATATCAACTCGTCCCACCCCTTCCCTCGTCCCACCCCTCCCTACAAGTTATTTCAGGTCAGGGGGAAAAAAATAATAGAGGAGGAGGAAAAGATACTCAAAACTTTTAACACCTGTGTGTCTTTTGCTTTTTTTTTTGTTTGTTTGTTTTAATTTGAAATTTCATCCAGAAACACTGGTTCGGTAATAATAAATATATCGATAGTTCTCAAGAATATATAAAAAATAAAGACACCGTCATTGTCTGTGAGGCCCTAACAAAATAGTTTCAAGCAAGCGCCCAGAAGGAGAAACGGAAATCAAGGACAACCAGAGACTTTCCAATCCGAGCTTGCATGCAGAGGATGAAAAGGAACGGCGGTGGGGAGGGGGGAGATCGGGATGGGGGGGGGAGTCCGTTTACTCAGGAAAACAGGGGAGCTGCTCGAGGGCACAGATGATGTCCAGGCAGGCGAGATGCCACTCGCCGTCGGTTCTGGCGCGTGGTTTTCTTTTCCGAATGCAGGAAGATGTGTTTTTTTTCTCCCTAGTTTTCCATCCACTTTCCTGGTTCCAAGAAAAACTACCGGGCGTAGCACAACAGACGAGATTCGGGGCAATGAGAGGCATTCTCTAGGAACGAGCGGCCCAGATGAGGGGGAAAATTAAGCGAGTTCAGAGTTTCGACCGATCGCAGCGGGCAGGTAACCAGTTTCGGCCCACAAACCGGTTGCTACGGTCGGCCGAGCCGCAAAAAATCCTTCGTTCAGATCAAACGTTCACAAAAGAGAGGGCTCCAAAACTCCTCGCCGAAAGGGGATACGAGGCATCAGGGGCAACGAAGGAGAATAAAAAGACACCCAAAATTTAACACCTCCTCCCTCCCACCCAAAAAAAAAACCTCGGTTAAATGTTTTGCCCGAGAAAGAATATTCGCCCGCTCTTATTTTTCCAAAGCTGTGTCTACACCCGCTCCCCAATTTACTCAGGTCGGCGTGTTTGCTGCCCAGAAACTCTTGGAATCCCGAAAGCGATTAAATTGATCGCGAGTGTCAAATCAAAACCACAGAGCCGAGCAGCCCGATTAGGGTTCTCTCCTTTGAAACGGGCGCAACAAACAGGCTGAGCTTTGGCTACTTGCTTGGAATTAAACCTCCCCCCCCACCCCCGCGTCCTTCCGACGCTGCAACTTGTTGGAGCTCTTGTGGGCCGACTGCACTCAACCTATCCCGCTTCCTCCGAAGGAAGCCTCTCAACGCTGCTCCGTTGTTGACTGACTCCCGGGAAAGTTTGCAGCGGTTCTTCAAAGCCTTTGCGTGGAAAAGACTTGTGCCCTCCACCCCCCCCCCCCCCCCCGACGTGGGAGAGAAACACACCCCCGGGAGAAAAAAAAAAAAAAAACTTGGAAAACCTCGGCCCACCCAAATTGATGGAGAAGAGCGCCGCAAAAGCGCCCGCCGCGAGTTTTTACAGCTTGGGAACAAGTTCAAAGTCCGAGAGGCGGAGAAAGCAATTGAGTTTCTCTCCCCCCGCCATTCTTCAACGGGTGGCTTCTCTTGCTTTCCCTTTTCCCTCCGCCTGTGCTGGTCTCAACCCGGTTTGGTTGAACCGACGGGTCGGTAGGCTAACCTCCCTATAGGGAAAAGAAAAGCGAATTTCCCCGGCGCCCCCCCCCCCCCCGCTTCCTCATCCAGTCCAACCGTTACCTTTGCAAAAGTCTTGTCCGGCTCTCCCCCTCTTCCCTTGTAGGCTGGATGCCAGCCCGCGTTGCCGCGAACGGACTTCTGGGGACGAAGCCGACCCGGGAGGAAGGCGGGAAAGCGGGGCGAGAAGAGGGACGGAGGCAATTTGGGGAAAGAGGAGACGACGAGGCATGCACACGAGATCCCCATCCCCTCCCACCCCCCCACCCCCGTGGGACGGAGGATGAGCTGCTCGGACTCCGCTCACCCCTCGCAGTCGGCAAAGGGCCCAGCTGATTTTGGGTGCCGGACCTGCCCAGTTCTTACTTAAGCAAGTCCTTGGCTTCCGTGGAGAGGCGGGCCAGGCCGGCCGTGGGAGTGGGGAGGGCGGCCAGATGCGGAGGCGGGGGCACCTGGCAGATGCTGCAGGGGCAAGGCAGGCCGGCCCAGTGCTGGAAGCCCCCTCCGCCGCCCCCGCCGCCCCCTCCGGTGAGCTGAAGGGCGGGCGGGGCAGGCGGCGTCTTGAGCAAGGAATGGGGCGGCCGGAGCGCGCCGAGGCCGGGCAGGGAAGCGCTGCTGGGAGGCGCCAGGGCGGCGCCCAGGATGGGGTGAACGGCGCCGGCGGCGTGGCCCGGGTGGCCGGCGGCGTGGGCCACAGTCCCGCAGTGGAAAGCCGCGTGGTGGCCGCCGTAAATCTCCCCCACCAGCCTCTTCATCTCTTCCAGCGAGCTGGTGAGCATCAGGATGTAGTTGCGGGCCAGGAGGAGCGTGGCGATCTTGGAGAGCTTCCGCACCGACGGCCCGTGGGCGTAGGGCATCACCTCGCGGAGCCCGTCCATGGCCAGGTTGAGGTCGTGCATGCGCTTCCTCTCCCGCCCGTTGATCTTCAGCCGCAGCTGCTGGAGGTCCTGCTCCGAGAGCTGCTTCTTGATTTTGTACTTGCTGCTCTCGCCCGCCGAGCCCTTGGCGCCGCCCCGGGAAAGGCTCTCGCCCGAGCCCTTCTGGCCCACTTCGTTCTGGGTGGAAGACACCGAATGGTGGTGGTGGTGATGGTGGTGGTGGTGGTCCCTCAGGTACATCTCTTCCATGTCCGGAGAGGAAGCTCTGCTGGAGACGGAGCTGGAGTCAGAATTCATGGTCTGGGCTGGGAAGGCGGGAAGGCTGGGGCGGGAGAGGCTTCCCTGCTCGGGGAAGGAGAAGAGGCACCCAAGGCAGCAGCCGCCGCACTGTACTCAACGCCTCTGGCCAGGAAAGAGGAGTCCGAAAAGGGGGCCGGCCGGCCAGGGATGCTGCAGCCCTCCCTCTCCCTCTCCCTCTCCGGGAGACCCGACCGACGGCCGGACGCGCCTGGGCTCGATCTAAGCTAGCCACCGAAAGGCGAGGGGCTTTTATAGGGTTGCCAGCAGTCGGGAGACAAAAGGAGTCCTCCTCTGGCGGAGGGGCTCCTTGCGATGACGCGCCGTTCTTTGGGGCGGTGCTCCTCGGGTTTATCCAGGACCCCCATTCGCGGGCATTGTGGGGGCCGCCCCGGGTCCCCCTCCGCCGCTGCCCCGCGGGACTCGAGGAAGCCCCGCCTTCCCCCCCCCCCGCCCGCCCGAGATTGACAGTGCAGAGCTTCGCCCGCTCTCCTGCTTCCCCGACGCCGCTGGGAGATGCTTTGATGTCCATCCCTCGGGCGAATTGGACCCGTCTGGGTTTCGGAAAGGGAATCCGGGAGGCCGAAGCCTGGGCAGAAAGGCGCCCCCCCCCCCCCCCCCCCAAAGGAACGGTGTTCAGCTTCGCCGAGCTCAACCCCGCCAGCTGGATTCGGACAATTCTGCGGATCTGGCCACTGGCCGAAACTGCTGGAGGCTTCCATCTGGCTCGCTTGTCTTCGGCAACTTCGCTTCGGAGAAAACGCCGCTGAGTTGTTAAGAAGACCCGCTTGCTTAGGAGGGACGCGCAAGAGACTTTAAAATTCCCTTCCAAGGCCTTGGGCATCCCAGAAAAGATCCTGAGAGATTTTGGGGAGTCCGATTCCACCTCCCAAAACCCCAGCTAGATTTGCTGAAAGCTAAGACGGATGCTGCTATCAATGATGCGAGACTGGTCCTTTTTTTTTTTTTGTCTTATGTCCTTTATCTCACTAAATAGCCTTGAGAATTCTTCGGGATTGAAGCCCTTGTCTCGATTCGCTCCGGTCGGAGTAGCACAAGCGCTTTTCCGAACGAAGTCGCCTCCGGGGATTCCCAACGCAGGCGGGCTTAAAAAGCAATTATTTGTAGCAGATCAACGGTTTAAATAAAAATAATAATAATAAAAACAGGATTGCTTGGGTTGGACAAGATTAGAAGGTAGGCCGTTTTTCTTGAATAACTCCTTTTCGCAGAATTTTCTCCCTCCCCCCATCTGTCTCCCATGTTCTACCGCTAAATTTAACCAGCTTTTTCCAAAGCCTCTTTCTACCATATGCTACGCGTGCCCCTCCCTTGTGTTATCGGGAAGCGATAAATAAAGGCGTGAACTGGCCGTTGTGGGAGGAGAGGAGAGGAAAGGACAGCAGCTGCATTTCCCGAAGTTGATTTTTTAAAAAAACGTTTCTGGGTGGGATACTTTTTTAAGTAGCCAGTTTCCTCCCATTCCGTTGGAAATTTTCTAGGTGGGAATTTCTTTGCATCTTTCTTGATCTACGCCCTGCCTTTAAAAATAAATAAATAAATAAATAAAACTCGGTCTCTGAAAAGGAACGGATAATCCCCTCCTTTCTAGTTAGGATGTTAAGCGAAACCTCGACAGTTCCATATTTCAAGCTAGCGCGATCAGTGGATTCCGGCAGAATTACTTCGGCCACGTTCGCGAGCTCACTTACTTTGGAAGTCAGTTCATTTGAACTCGTGTTAAAATGATGTTTGGGGCGACGCGTCCAGGACTGCGCAGTTCCGTGTGTCGAGGCGCGCACCCTTCATGACTCAGGAGTAAGACGCTGTTGACCGAGGAACGATTCGTTTTCAACTAAATGTGTTTTCGGATCAGTGAACAAGCGTGAGAAAAACAGTCGGAGAGGAAATGTTTCAGCGTCCTCCCCTCGCTTGTTTCCTAAATGGCCGGTGACAAAATGGTTTCTTCCATTGGGTGAAATACGAATCAATTCTACAAAAAGGGAGTTCTCTTTGGGCAAGATTATGTATATACAGATGCATGGACGCCTTGCTCAAGTGGAAAAAAAAAACACTCACTTCGTCAAAGGCGGCAATATTTTACCCCGCTTAGCGATTTCGCCTCTCTTTTGCCTAAAAATTGATACTCCAGTTTCAAAACACAGAGAGTCATCCGGTTCTAAACGCGTTTCCTCGAAAGTTAATCCATTGGTTCTAAATTGCTTACATCCCAACTCTTGGTCTACTATTGTTATCGGGACGTGCCTACTAAACCCCTTGTTTAACCGCCCGATATTTTGACTTTCCACTAAAAAAGATGCAAAGTTGAACTAAAACTCCTTCCGAACAAACTAGGTTACTGTTTCAACTTAGTCTTATGCAGGTTTATTTCAAAATACACCCTCTTGGGCACTAAAACTCCTCCCGAATAAACTAGGTTACTCTTTCAACTTAGTCCTATGCAGGTTTATTTGAAATTACACCCTCTTGGGCACTAAAACTCCTGAATAAACTAGGTTACTCTTTCAACTTAGTCCCATGCAGGTTTATTTGAAAATACACCCTCTTGGGCACTAAAACTCCTTCCGAATAAACTAGGTTACTCTTTCAACTTAGTCCCATGCAGGTTTATTTGAAAATACTCCCTCTTGGGTGAATTCGAATTAGGTTTAACAAGCTAGGTTAAATCCTAGCTTGTGATAAATCTGACCATCAAGTTAAAACCATAATATATTGGGGGGGGAGGGGAGAGAGAAATCTAATCAAATGCTGTGTTTTTAGCAGGTTCTATGAACACAGTCAATGTCTTTGATGGTACATTTGCTGCCCAAGGAGGATGGGCAGAATTGAAGGTCTAGTCATGGGAGTAATGCAGGACTTTAGGCTTTATCATAGCAATGTCCCCAAGCAACCGCTGGGGAGAAGCGAGGCAATCCAGAGAGTAGCGGGGGATGCAGCCTGAGGCTCTGCGCTCAGGTCGTGATCGCACAAAACTGCTTAACCAGATCAGTTAAAGAGTTAGCAGGTCTACATTAGGCTGAACTTGCAAGGTGTTAACCCCAAGGAGGTTTTCCCAGATGGTGCATGTAGTGAAAGGCAGGCCATTCAGTTAATTTATCTTGGCTAAACAAATAATTCCCTCAACACTGTGAAACTATTTACTAAGTCTGCACTACTATTAATCTTCTCATCGTTCCCACCACCAATCTCCTTCCGCTTATGACTGTAAAACTGTAACTTTGTTGCTTGTATCCTTATGATTTATATTGATATTGTTTCCTGATTGCTTATCTGTACCCTATGAGTTGTGTTGTGCCTTATGATTCTTGTTGAAGGTATCTTCTTTTTTATGTACACTGAGAGCATATGCACCAAGACAAATTCCTTGTGTGTCCAATCACACTTGGCCAATAAAAAATTCTATTCTATTCCACTTTAACTTGGCAATCAGGCTAGAAATGTCTTATGAACGTCAGGATTCTTCATCTGAGTCGGATGGGCCAGGGCCAGTGAAGATGGGGGCTCCGGAGTTGAGCTTTGCTTGATTGAAGGAGGATCTCAGATATTCTTTTTTTAAATTTTTAAATTTGATTTATATGCCGCCCTTCTCCGGAGACTCAGGGCGGCTTACAATGCGTTAAGCAATAGCCTTCATACTTTTGTATATTTATACAAAGTCAGCTTATTGCCCCCACAATCTGGGTCCTCAATTTACCTACGTTAGAAAGGATGGAAGGCTGAGTCAACCTTGAGCCTGGTGAGATTCGAACTTACAGTAATTGCAGACAGCTGGTGTTAATCACAATGCTTTTTAGTCTGCTGAGCCACCAGGCACCAGGCCTCTTATCTTGCAGATATTTTTAGGAGTGGAAACTTAGCATCCAGCCTGGAGATATTTGCTAAGCACCTGCAAAGATCTTTCTCTAGCACTTCTGCCTGGACTTCCTTTCAGCTGCACTCTTATGTCTGGATCCTGGGAACCCCCGAATTTGGGATGAATTGAGGGAAAGAAAAAGCGCAGGAAAGATGCCCCTTAGTTTAGAGTTCAGCACGTTGAATGCACAGGGGCTCCGCTGATTGAACAGACTTGCGCACTGAAACCTTAGATGTCTCCTAGTGGTTGCACGGTTGCTGAAGACAGGAAGAAGGTGCTAATTAATGCCAGTTTCCGAAAACAGGAAAATACACACAGGCTCACAGCCCAGTCGAACTGGACTTCCGGTCAGCTCCATGCTGCGGGTTTGGTGCCAACAATACGAAGGGGCTTTTGGCCATTGTCTCTAGCCCGCGATCCTATAATTCCCTGGTGGTCCCCCCCCCATTCAGTTTAATCAGGCCAGACTTTGATTAGGTTCTGTGACCACACAACTTCTTAGCAACCCTCCCATTTCCCGGTTGACCACCCAGTTTTGCACTGAGACACCAGTGGAGTTGCCTATTGACAACTGGCAACACAATAAAAACTCGCTTTGGGGAAAAAAAAACAACCAAGGATGGTGGGAATTTTTTATCAGGTTGTAAACAAGATCGGAGAAGTTCGTTCGATTTAGGGAATGAGTAATCCGATCGGCCCGCGAATTGCAAACCAGGACATCAATGCTGGTAGTAGGAGAGAGATGGGAGGGAACCGCGCCTAGATCTTATTCAGGGCTTGCAATTCAGGAGAGTCTTGAAGGGAGGCGGGGAGGGAAGAGCTGGGGCGCTGGTCCTGTCGACGAGGACCGAGCTTGTAAGGGAGGCTTAGAATTCCTAGCGACGGCGATCCTAAGGGTTTGGAAGAAGCTGGCTCTGGGGCGAGTTGGTTCAGTGTCGAGCACGCAGGCCAGAAGGGAACGAGGCTTCTTTACTTGGCTTGGAGGCAATTTCTAGGCTTCTTGAGGTTCTTAATGCCCCCATCCCTGCTTCCCCTCTCTTTACCTGCAAGGTGTTCAGAAGAGAATACAAACGGGAGGTATGGAGAGACAGCCCCTAGCCCTGCGTGGTCAGCAGTCTTCTGCCGCGATTTCCTTAAACCGAAAGATTCTTTTCTCCCTTAGTTTGAGCCTGGATAGCTCAGCAGACTAATGCATTGTAATTTAACTCCAGCTGTCTGCAATTAGTAAGTTCGAACCTCGCCAGGCTCAAGGTCGACTCAGCCTTCCATCCTTTCTAAGGTAGGTAAATTGAGGACCCAGATTGTGGGGGCAATAAGCTG